CGGCTGTTAACCGAAAGGTTGGTGCTTCGAGCCCACCCGGGGGCGACAGTTTTTGAATACAAAAGGCTATTTACTTCATGAGAACCCATTACGTAATATACACACGAAATATTATGTCACACTTCAAAACTCATTTCAACATTTTTTTTTTTTTTTTGTAATTGAAGTATTTAAACCGTTGACAAAACTTTGAAAACTAAAACATTTCCCCAGTTACCTGTTTAAAGATTGTGATATTCATGCAGCCACAGAGCCTCCGTGGCGCAATGCGCTAGCGCGTTCGGCTGTTAGCCGAAAGGTTGGTGCTTCGAGCCCACCCGGGGCGACATTTTTTGAATGCAAAAGGCTATTTACTTCATGAGAACCCATTACGTAATATACACACGAAATATTATGCTACACTTCGAGACTCATTTCAACATCTTTTTGCAATTCAAGTATTTAAACAGTAGACAAATCTTTGAAAACCAAAACTTTTCCCCAGTTACCTGTTTTAAGATCGTGATATTCATGCAGCAACAGAGCCTCCGTGGCGCAATCGGCTAGCGCGTTCGGCTGTTAACCGAAAGGTTGGTGGTTCGAGCCCACCCGGGGGCGAAAGTTTTTGAATGCAAAAAGGCTATTTACTTCATGAGAACCCATTACGTAATATACACACGAAATATTATGCTACACTTCGGGACTCATTTTAACATATTTTTGCAATTCATTATTTAAACCGTAGACAAAACTTTGAAAACTAAAACTTTTCCCCAGTTACCTGTTTTAAGATCGTGATATTCATGAAGCAACAGAGCCACCGTGGCGCAATCGGCTAGCGCGTTCGGCTGTTAACCGAAAGGTTGGTGGTTCGAGCCCACCCGGGGGCGAAAGTTCTTGAATACAAAAAGGCTATTTACTTCATTAGAACCTATTTCCTAATATACACACCAATTATTATGTTACACTTCGGGACTCATTTCAACTTCTTTTTGCAATTCAAGTATTTAAACCGTAGACAAAACTTTCAAAACTAAAACTTTTCCCCAGTTACCAGTTTTAAGATCGTGATAGATCATGACGTGTATTTTAATTTTCAAGTAGCATCAGAGCCTCCGTGGCGCAATCGGCTAGCGCGTTCGGCTGTTAACCGAAAGGTTGGTGGTTCGAGCCCACCCGAGGCGAAAATTTTTGAATGCAAAAAGGCTATTTACTTCATAAGAGCCCATTACATAATATACACACGAAATATTATGCTACACTTCGGGACTCATTTCAACATCTTTTTGCAATTCAAGTATTTAAACCTTTGACAAAACATTGAAAACTAAAACATTTCCCCAGTTACCTGTTTTAAGATCGTGATATTCATGCAGCAACTGAGCCTCCGTGGCACAATCGGCTAGCGCGTTCGGCTGTTAACCGAAAGGTTGGTGGTTCGAGCCCACCCGCGGGCGAAAGTTTTTGAATGCAAAAGGCTATTTACTTCATGAGAGCCCATTACGTAATATACACACGAAATATTATGCTACACTTTGAAACTCATTTCAACATCTTTTTTGCAATTCAAGTATTTAAACCGTAGACAAAACTTTGAAAACTAAAACTTTTCCCCAGTTACCAGTTTTAAGATCGTGATAGATAATGATGTGAATTTTAATTTTCAAGTAGCAACAGAGCCTCCGTGGCGCAATCGGCTGTTAACCGATAGGTTGGTGGTTGTAGCCCACCCGGTGGCGAACGTTTTTAAAAGCAAAAAAAGCTATTTACTTCATTAAAAGTAATTACGTAAGATACACACCGAATATCATCTTACCCCTAGAAATTCATTGAAACATAATTTTTTGCAATTCTCGTATTTAAACCGTAGACATAACTTTGCATACTATAACTATTTCCCGTTTACCAATTTTGAGCTATTGACAGATTTTTACTTTAATTTTTGTTTTCTATTCACAACTGAGCCTCCGTGGCGCAATCGGCTAGCGCGTTCGGCTGTTAACCGAAAGGTTGGTGGTTCTAGCCTACCCGGGGCGAAAGTTTTTGAATGCAAGAAGGCTATTTACTTCATTAGAACCCATTTCGTAATATACACACGAAATATTATGTTACACTTCGGGACTCATTTCAACATCTTTTTTGCAATTCAAGTATTTAAACAGTAGACAAATATTTGAAAACTTAAACTTTTCCCCAGTTACCAGTTTTAAGATCGTGATAGATCATGACATGAATTTTAATTTTATGATTATAATAATGTTTAGTTTGCACCGATTCATTACACATTAATTTAAAATCTCTAAAAGATTACACCACACACAAATGGCGAGACTGCTAACAAAGAATTTTATTCGAGCGTTCTCCATACGCTCTCTTCTCACTCTACACATACACTGTTTACACACTGTTTTTTCACACACTAGCGCCCTCTCGCGACAAATATGCACCTGTTGTTGTGGGTTGGTGGTTGTAGCCCACCCGGTGGCGAACGTTTTTAAAAGCAAAAAAGCTATTTACTTCATTAAAAGTAATTACGTAATATACACACCGAATATCATCTTACCCCTAGAAACTCTTTCAAACATAATTTTTTGCAATTCTCGTATTTAAACCGTAGACATAACTTTGCATACTATAACTTTTTCCCGTTTACCAATTTAGAGCTATTGACAGATTTTTACTTTAATTTTAGTATCTTTTCACAGCTGAGCCTCCGTGGCGCAATCGGCTAGCGCGTTCGGCTGTTAACCGAAAGTTTGTTGGTTCGAGCCAACACGGGGGCGAAAGTTTTTGAATGCAATAAGGCTATTTACTTCATTAGAACCCATTTCTTAATATACACTCGAAATATTATGCGATACTTCGGGACTCATTTCAACATCTTTTTTGCAATTCAAGTATTTAAATTGTAGACAAAACTGAAAACTAAAACTTTTCCCCAGTTACCTGTTTTAAGATCGTGATATTCATGCAGCAACAGAGCCTCCGTGACGCAATCGGCTAGCGCGTTCGGCTGTTAACCGAAAGGTTGGTGGTTCGAGCCCACCCGGGGCGAAAGTTCTTGAATGCAAAAAGGGTATTTACTTCATTAGAACCCATTTCGTAATATACACACGAAATATTATGTTACACTTCGGATCTCATTTCAACATCTTTTTTGCAATTCAAGTATTTAAACAGTAGACAAATGTTTGAAAACTTAAACTTTTCCCCAGTTACCAGTTTTAAGATCGTGATAGATCATGACATGAATTTTAATTTTCAACTAGCAACAGAGCCTCCGTGGCGCAAATGGCTAGCGCGTTCGGCTGTTAACCGAAAGGTTGGTGGTTCGAGCCCACCCGGGGGCGAAAGTTTTTGAATGCAAAAGGCTATTTACTTCATGAGAACCCATTACGTAATATACACACGAAATATTATGCTACACTTCGGGACTCATTTCAACATCTTTCTTGCAATTCAAGTATTTAAACCGTAGACAAAACTTTGAAAACTAAAACTTTTCCCCAGTTACCAGTTTTAAGATCGTGATAGATCATGACGTGAATTTTAAATTTCAAGTAGCAACAGAGCCTCCGTGGCGCAATCGGCTGTTAACCGAAAGTTTGGTGGTTGAAGCCCACCCGGGGGCGAAAGTTTTTAAAAGCAAAAAAAGCTATTTACTTCAATAAAGTAATTACGTAATATACACACCGAATATCGTCTTACCCCTAGAAATTCATTGAAACATAATTTTTTGCAATTCAAGTATTTAAACCTTTGACAAAACTTTGAAAACTAAAACATTTCCCCAGTTACCTGTTTTAAGATCGTGATATTCATGCAGCAACAGAGCCTCCGTGGCTCATTCGGCTAGCGCGTTCGGCTGTTATCCGAAAGGTTGGTGGTTCGAGCCCATCCGGGGCGAAAGTTTTTGAATGCAAAAGGCTATTTACTTCATGAGAACCCATTACGTAATATACACACCGAATATAATGTTACACTTAGAAATTCATTGAAACTTAATATTTGGCAATTCCGGAATTTAAACCGTTGACATAACTTTGCAAACTATAACTTTCCTCTAGTTACGAACTTTAATATCGTACAAGATTATGACATGAATTTTACTTTTTCAAGTTACAACTGAACCTCCGTAGCGCAATCGGCTGGCGCGTTTTTCTATTAACCGAATGTTTAGTTTTTCGAGCCCAACGGTGTGCGAAAGCTTTTTAATGCAAAAAGGCTATTTACTTCATGAGAATCCATTACGTAAAATACACACGAAATATTATGTTACACTTCAAAACTCATTTCAACTTTTTTTTTTTTGCATTTGAAGTATTTAAACGGTAGACAAAATTTTGAAAACCAAAAATTTTTTCCAGTTACCAGTTTTAAGATCGTGATAGATTATGACATGTATTTTACTTTTTCAAGCAGCAACAGAGCCTCCCTGGCGCAATCGACCAGTGAGTTCGCTTGTTTACCGAAAGGTTGGTGGTTCGAGCCCACTCGGGGGGGGAAAGTTTTTGAATGCAAAAGGCTTTTTACTTTATTAGAACCCATTTCGTAAAATACACACGAAATATTATGTTACACCTCGCGATTCATTTAAACATCTTTTTGGCAATTCTAGTATTCAAATCGTAGACAAAACTTTGAAAACTATAACTTTTCCTCCGTTACCAGTTTTAAGATCGTGATAGATTATGACATGTATTTTACTTTTTCAAGCAGCAACTGAGCTTCCTGGCGCAATCGACCAGTGAGTTCGGCTGTTAACCGAAAGGTTGGTGGTTCGAGCCCACCCGGGGGCGAAAGTTTTTAATGCCAAAAGGCTATTTACTTCATGAAAATCCATTACGTAATATACACACCGAATATCATGTTACACCAAGAAATCAATTGAAACTTAATGTTTGACAATTTCGGTTTTCTAACCGTAGACACATAACAAAAAAACTATAACTTTTTCCCGTTTATGAATTTTGAGCTAATGCCAGATTTTGACATCAATTTTTATTTCACATCACAAATGAGCCTCCGTGGCGCAATCGGCTAGCGAGTTCGGCTTTTAACCGAAAGGTTGGTGGTTCGATACCACCCGAGGGCGAAAACTTTTAATGCCAAAATGCTATTTACTTCATAAAAAGTAATTACGTAATTTACACACCGATTATCATCTTACCCGTAGAAATTCATTGAAACATAATTTTTTGCAATTCTTGTATTTATAAACCTTAGACATAACTTTGCGAAATCAATTTTTCGTGTTTACAAATTTTAAGCTCGTGAAAGATTATGAAACCATTTTTTTCTACAAATAACCAAGCCTTCGTGGCACGTTCAGTGGTTAACCGACAGGTTGGTTTTACGAGCACAGCCTAGGGCGAAAGATTTTGAATGCAAAAAGGCTATTTACTTCATGAAAACCCATTACGTAATATACACATGAAATATTATGTTACACTTCGAAACTCATTTCAACATTTTTTTTTAGCAATTGAAGTATTTAAACCATAGACAAAACTTTGAAAACTAAAACTTTTCCCCAGTTAACAGTTTGAAGATCGTGATAAATTATGACATGAATTTTAATTTTTCGAGCAGCGGCAGAGCCTGTGTGGCGCAATCGGCTAGCGCGTTCGGCTGTTAGCCGAAATGTTGGTGGTTCGAGCCCACCCGGGGGGCGTAAGTTTTTAAAAGCAAAAAAGGCTATTTACTTCATTAAAAGTAATTACGTAATATACACACCGAATATCATCTTACCCCTAGAAATTTATTGAAACATAATTTTTTTGCAATTATTGTATTTAACCCTCTAACTGGATACCTTCCTCCTGAAAAGTTATTCCGCAAGCGTTTAACTCTTATTTTGCGATTCCCTTCAAAAATGCAACAGACTTCTTTCCTTTCTCCCTTTTAGAACCCCTTTTAGACAATTTTACGACCCAGTTCGACCCTTTTGTCAAGTAAGAACCAAGAGATCAATCGTTTACAGCTAGCTGTTAAGTTGTTTTGGGCAATCTTCTTTGAAAGCGTAGTGGAATTCGGTGTGTCTCTCTCCTATATGTACAGTCACAGTAAAATTAAAAACGAAATGAAAGGTAAAAAAAAGAGGAAAACATGAAATAAATAGTATGTTAGAAGTTGAAAAATAATTATATTTTCTTCAAATAAAATTTTTTTTACTGTCATTTTTTAAAAATTAAAATATATATATATATATATATTTGGTATTGCGATTTGAACCAGAAAAAAGCATCCTGTATTCATTTTTGAATATGAGAGTAAGAAAACGCGCTCACTTTCCTGTTTTTAAAAAAGTAATGAGGTAAAAAGAGCAAAGGCCCTATATCATTTTTAAACAATAACACAATAAATATTACATACCATGATTATATTTATGAAATAAAAAACCGATCTTTCTCTATTCAGTTATATTTTTAATTTATAATAGCTTAAAAAAGGATTTCAATATTTTTAATTTATTTTAATTAAAATCATATAAAAGATATTTTTATGTTAAATGAATATTTTTCGGAAAAAATTTAAATTTTCCTTCCTAGTGTTCTCTTTTTCGAACTTCTTGTATTAAATAAAAATTCCTTTTCTACATCGGCATTTGTGATGGACATAACACACATTCAGTCAATAATTTTTAATTTTAATGGGGGATATACTTCTTCAAAAGCGCATGACAGTACTTCTAACCATTTTCTACTCAAGTTAAATTTCTTATCTTTATGTTTCTTTTATTACAAGGAAAAATGTCACACATCGATAACTACATTTTCACACAATTCAGTCATTACAAATTCTATTGTGAGAAAAGTTCTCCCAAATTAATTTTGTCTTTCAAAACAGTACACTTAAAACAATTTTGTTCAGTGAAGTTAACCGATAGTTCCACAATGTATTCATACCAAATTTAAAAAACAAATTTAACACTTGAAAATGTATCCTGTATTAAATTTTTCAGTATACACAAATATTTCCTGCTGTAGGAAAGATATAGTATGAGATGTGGTGTGCGGTTGTGAAAGAATGTTTTCGTATGTGTAGACTATTTTTGAAAATTTAAATATCACTGAAGCTGATCATATAACTGCAAATGAGCCTTATTTTAATGTGTGCTGGTATCAAAATAAAACACTTTACAATATTAAACAGCCTATGGGTTTATACTCAATATCAAACTATTCGCAAAATGGCTTACAACTTCTATTCAAATTGTAAAGGTACTGAAATATAAATATATCTTACTACAGTCAAAAATATTCATAATATGTAAGTATCCTATTTCTCCACTTATTTCTGTACATTTTAAAAACTGTAGCTGAATGCAATTTTTTATATTTATAAAAGAGGCATAACAGCTCACACACTCGTAAAAATGTCTTTATCATTTTTAAATATACTACTATAAAACGTATATGGATTGTAAGATCAGTTGTAAAATCCTAAAAGCTTTTAGAGGAGCTAAAAACATGTAATTTTGGATTGATCAAATTTTTAATATAATATGTAAGTATCCTATTTCTCCACTTAAAAACTTAACTTAAACTTAATAAAAACTTAACTTAACTTAAACTTAAAATTTAACTTTTTAACTTAATATTTGGCAATTCCGGTAATTAAACCGTAGACATATCTTTGAAAACTATAAATTTTTCCTGTTGACCAATTGTAAGCTAATGACAGATTATAACATCAGTTTTTCTTTTCACTTCACAAATGAGCCTCCGTGACGCAATCGCCTAGCGCGTTCAGCTGTTAACCGAAAAGTTGGTAATTCGAGCCCCACCCAGAGGCAAGAGCTTCTGAATGCAAAAAGGCTATTTACTTCATGAAACCCCATTACTTAATATACACACAAAATATATATTATGTTACACTTCGAAACTCATTTCAAAATTTTTTTGGCAATTCAGGTATTCAAACTGTAGACAAAACTTTGAAAATTATAACTTTTTCCCGGTAGCCATTTTTCAGATCGTGAAAGATTATGACATGAATTTTAGTGTTTCAAGTTGCAACAGAGTCTCCGTATCGCAATCAGCTAGCGCGTTTGGCTGTGAACCAAAAGGTTGGTGGTTCGAGCCCACCCGGGGGCTAAAACTTTTTAAATAACCAAAATTCTATTTACTTCATAAAAAGTCATTACTTAATGTTCACACCGAATATACATGTTAGCCCTAGAAATTCATTCAAACATAATTTTTTGCAATTTTTGTATTTAAACCTTAGACACATAACTTTCCGAACTAAATTTTTGACGTTCTCAAATTTTAAGCTCGTGAAAGATTATGACACAATTTTTTTCTATTTCTACATATTACCAAGCCTCCATGGCGCAATTGGTTATCGCTTTCGGCTGTTAATCGAAAGGTTGATGGTTCGTTTACGCTCAGGGGCGAAAGCTTTTTAATGCAAAAAGGCTGTTTACTTCATGAAAATCCATTACGTAATATACACCCCGAATACCATGTTACACGTAGAAATTAATTGAAACCTTATATTTGGCAATTTCTGTATTTAAACCGTAGACATAACTTTGCAGACTATAAATTTTTCCTGTTTACCAATTTTAAGCTAATGACAAATTATCACATCAATTTTTTTTCACTTCACAAATGAGTCTCCGTTGCGCAATCGGCTAGTGCGTTCGGCAGTTAACCGAAGGGTTGGTGGTTCGACACCACCCGGGGGCGAAAGCTTTTGAATACAAAAGCCTTTCTACTTCATGAAAACTCATTACTTAATATACACACCGAATATCATGTTACACCTAGAAATTCATTGAAACTTAAGGGCAGTAGGAAAGGTAAAATTTGAGATTTTTACATTTTCAAATAGTACAGGTTTTAACCTTTCTAAAAATACCTTGGTTTAACTTCTAGGGTATTTAGAAGCCCTAAAACCCTATTTTTCAATAATCGTCGAAACTGGGCCACGCCCACTTGACAAGCGAAAAAGTAAACAAAATTTCTTGTTTTGGCTTAAAAGTTGAGCGTCTGGTATAAATCAAAACATTTATCTTTTATTGTATAAATTGAGCCTTTTATTATTTTATTTCCTGACCCATCTGAAACTTCAATGTATTTTAACGGTCAAATCAATGTGTGTTTACACTTTCAAAACTGCGTTGTTATTTTTGAACTCGCAAGTATTCTTTAACATTATTACGCTTAAACTTTCAAAAAATTTGCTATAATATATCGACTTTACCATGCCTAGAGCATCAGCTAAAGTATTTAAGAGAAACGAAGAGGAGTTTTTTATAAAGGAAGTTTTAAAATAGTAATGTTGGTTGTGTAGAAAGCAATTCTACTGTTCCAAAGAACTCTGCTGATGAAAAGAATTGTGCTGATGGTGCAAAGCTTTGTACTAATGAAACTGAACCATCTGCTAGTGAGAGAAAAATTGTACACATGGATATTTCATATTCGGATGAGGCTTTTTCTGGTTTCAGAAGTGTTATTGTGGACATTAACCTTTTAGCTTGTGTGTTCTTTGAAGCTGTAAAATGTATAAAGTGTGAAAAAACAGGACTCAGATTGCCCCTCAGTGAAAGTAACTGTGGTGAAGCTGTGAAATTTCACTTAAAATGTCCTTCTTGCAAATATAACTATACTTTTTTTAATTCCAAGAAATGTGATAGTTCTGAGAACTATGAACTCAATACCCGGCTAGTGTATGCTACGCGATGCATAGGTAAAGGTGATGAGTCTGCTAGGATGTTTTGCGGTATCATGAATCTTCCACCGCCACCCACAAAATTCTCGAAGTACAACCACATTTTACTGCAGGCAAGAAAAGAAACCTGTGAATACAGTATGGCAGAAGCTGTTCGTGAAGCAGTTGATGAAAATGATGGAAAAAGGGACTTTGCTGTTACTGTTGATGGTAGCTGGCAGAAGCGTGGTTTTTCTTCGAAGAATGGCTTGGTGACAGTCACAAGTGTTGATACCGGCAAAGTTATAGATGTAGAAGTTTTTTCAAAACATTGTATTTGTCCGAACAAAACCAAGCATCTTCAAAATTGTAAGAGAACTTTTGAAGGCTACAGCGGTAAGATGGAAGTAGCTGGAGCTCTATCCATTTTTCAGCGTTCCCAGTCTCTCTACAATGTTCGGTACACAAAATATTTAGGAGATGGGGACTCCAAGGCTTTTACTTCTATTGTCGAGAACAAAGTATATGGTGATTATTGCTCTGTCGAGAAATTAGAATGCATAGGTCATGTTATGAAAAGAATGGGGACACGTCTTCGACGCTAGAAAACTGAGAGGCCAAAAACCTTCTGACGGAAAGCCTTTATGGGGAAGAAATAGATTGACAGAGGCAGAAATCTACCGTCTGCACGCATATTATGGTCTAGCTATCCGCAGAAATTTATCTAGCGTGAAGGACATGCAACAAGCCACATGGGCAATATTTGTACACAAGCTATCAACCGATAAAAAACCTCAACATGGATTTTGTCCCTCTGATACAGATACGTGGTGCAAATTTAAAAAGGCAGAATTGCTTGGGGAGACTTATCATCACAAAAATAGTTTACCTGTGGATGTTGCAGAGGTCATGCGACCTGTTTTTAGGGATTTAGCTAATCCAGAATTGCTAAAAAAGTGTTTACATGGAGGTACGCAAAATCCTAACGAAAGTGTAAATAATGTAATATGGTCTCGTGTACCGAAGAAAACATTTGTACAATTAGAAGTTTTGTCACTGGGTACATATGATGCAGTTTCCTCATTTAATATGGGGAATGTATCAAAACTAGAAATTTTGAGAAAAATGTGTATTGAGCATGGTGATTACACGGTACAGGCGATGGAGTGCCTCGACAAAAAGAGGCTGTTACGAGCAAAATACTCTTGTTTACAAAAGGCAAAGGAAGTTAAGAAGGAAAAAAGACTTAAAAGGAAGAAAGAAGATGATGAGCTACTAAAAAATGCTAATCATTTAGAATATGGAGCTGGAATGTTTTAATTCAAAATTAATTATACGTTAAAATCAATTTTTCTCAAAAAGTCAATTTTTGATGTTCGATGTTCCTTTTCTTAGAAACTACTGTTCACAGGTATGTAAATTTTTTATGATATATTTATAATGATGGCTAATACATACTAAAGAGAGCTTTTTGTAAAAAACCCCAAAATTTATTTTTTACAAATTTTTTTATGTGAAAAACGGGTTAACTTAAACTATGTTTGATAAAATATTTTATAAATTATGAAAAAATTCAAAATTAGCTAAACGCTCATTTGAGTACAATGAGAAATGTGTATTTTAATTATGTGAAAAATTTCAAGAATGTACATATAACAGATTTTGAGAAAATGTACCTCGAAAACCGCCAATTTAACATTGTCGTTATAGAGGTTTCCGACTGCTCTTAATATTAGGCAATTCCGGTGTTTAAACCGTAGACATAACTTCGCAAATTATAAATTTTTCCCGTTTTACAATTTTAAGCTAATGCCAGATTATACCATCAATTTTTCTTTTCACTTCACAAATGTGCCTCCGTTGCGCAATCGGCTAGGGCGTTCGGCTGTTAACGGAAAGTTTAATGTTTCAAGCCCACCCGGGGCGAAAACCTTTTAATGCAAAAAGGCTATTTACTTCATGAAAATCCATTACGTAATATACACAACGAATATCATGTTACACCTAGAAATTCATTGAAACTTAATATTTGGCAATTCCAGTATTTAAACCGTAGACATAACTTTGCAAACTATAACTTCTTACCGTTTACAAATTTTAAGCTAATGACAGATTATGACATCAATTTTTCTTTTCACTTCACAAATGAGCCTCCTTGGCGCAATCAGCTAGCGCTTTCGGCTGTTAACGGAAAGGTTGGTGGTTAAAGCCCACCCGGAGACG